ATTCCTGTTCCAGTTCCTTCAAATCCTAGGAGTGTTTTTATTGTATTCTGATCCTTTTTGAGTTCAAGTGTTTCTCATTTGCAGGAACACAGAGGGCTTATTCAGAAGCTAGCTACAAGAACAAAAAAGCTGGCAGGCACGTTAGTGCCAACTTTTAGGTCTTGCTAGTGCAGGTGGCACATGATTAAGTCGGAGCTGGGACACTTGGCTGCTGTTGCTTAGCGCAGAATAGCTCCATTCACTGAGCCTACGAGGGCCAGAGGCTGGCCAAGCATTAGCTCATTCCTTTCTTTTTTGTGCCTTTCTGGCTGGAAGGAGACTAGGGAGGGCTGCCTGAGCTACGGGGTCACTGCCTGGCCTTGTGGGGGAGAGGAGTTGTGGGCAGCAAACCTCCCTAATTCTGAGTATAGATAAGCCCTTGCCAACCATATCGACTTCTACTCTGTTTCTCAGTGGCCTGGCCCCTGTCCCTCCTCTCCAGACGACACCACGACTTGGAGACGGTGCTTCTGGAGAAGGCATTGCTGGTATTAAGAGAAGAAGTAGGTGGCCCAGTTTTTTTCCATTCTGACACAGGTCAAGCTGTGTCCAGCCGGGGCCGCACCCACTCTGTGTTCCCTCCTCACCCCTCGCACGCCATCATCAGGAGGATTTCATTACTGGGCTTCACAAATGAGGGACACGGGTGAGAACAATTACCTTTCAGCGCATTCCAGGCATCCCACTTGGCCTTGCCTTTGAGGTCCAACATCCCAGGCCGTTCTTCAACAAGAAAAGGAAAGACATTAGGTCTGCTTCCAGCTCCAAAGGAAAACTTTATCAGTTTTCTTGCCAGGAAAGGCATCTTTCTCACATCGATCCCTTCTACACTCATGAAGGTAAACGGCCCAGAACAGTGTACAGAAATACAAACTTAAAATCCAGAGAAAGTAAAAGGGCAACTGTTCCTTACTAGAGGGTCCTTGTCTTCAAAAGTGAACTCCCAAACATCTCCTTTTAAAAACTGCACTTTAAACAATACTGTGAAGTTTCCTTCCCACCCCATTTCTGTCTCATGCATTACTGTTTCGTTTTCTGAGTGTCCTTTTCTGTGGGCTGTATGTTCATATCCTTGCCCCATTTTCCCACCAAATCGTTAGTCTATTTCTTGTTGGTTTGTGGGAGATTTTTCCTGAGAGCAACGTTTCTTTAAGTTAGACCAGGATTTTATGCTTACAGACTTATCAGTTGCACTTGGGAAACACACTCACGAGTTCCCTGCTGACCTATTCCCTGCCACGCAGAGAACCAAGCCAAGGGGAGCAACCACGGCGCCCACAGCCCGGACCCTGTGCCAGAGGAACATCAAGCCTTCCTAAGTGCTTTCTGGGAAGCACTCCCAGAGGTGCCTGGGAGGAACTGCACCTGCAGTCATCAACCAACTTCTAGAGCAGCGCCCCCACCAGTGGCCCTTCTGTGATGATGGAAATGCTGTACATCTGCACTGTCCAACTTGTCACTGTGCCACTTGAGCTTCTGGAATAGTGGCTTGTGTGACTGAAGACTGAACTTTTGATTCTATTTAATTTGAACTACCTTCAGTTTAAATTTAGATAGCCATGTGTGGCTAGTGGCTACTGTACTGGACTGTGAAGCCTGAGAGTGTGCTGCTACCTCCCTGACCCGGAAGTTACAGATTGCCAAGCCAGCCTATCTGCCCTCACGTGAAAGCAGGGCAGGCCCAGTCTCTGGGAAAACACTGCTTGGCCGAAGAGTGTATTGGCGGCTTTAGCCGCCCCCACTTCATCTCTCCACCCACTTCCCAGGAGGACACAGCTTATAAACCCAGCATAAAACTCACCTCCACCACGAGACCTTTCTCAACTCAGCCCTCCCTGGGAACCCAAGTTCGATTTGGCATTGCACCAGATCCCTACCTCTGGGCACTTCTGCATCCAGCAGGCTCGCAGCCAGCCCACCTGGCTCCACTCCAACCCAACTGCAGTGGAATTGGGGGCCACACTCACCCTCCTCATCAGAGAGGGGAGGAGGTAACCTCCTTTTGTGGTGCCATAGCCACCACCTCCGAGTCCTTGCGTGGACTGAATCATGCCACTGCTTAACCCATTTCTCTGCCTCATGCATTACTGTTTAGTTTTCTGAGTGTCTTTTTTTGTGAACTGTATGTTCATACCCTTGCACCATTTCCTCCCCGAATTGTTAGTCTATTTCTTATTGATTTGTGGGAGATTTTTCCTGAGAGCAAAGTATACACCTGAGAATCAGGGACTTTGGGGGCAGAATACAAACTGGCCGAGGCAGGAAAGGCAGTACTATGGAATACGTGAATTCAAACTATGGCCTCAAAATTTGTACCAAGACTTTTCAACAGGGAATGGTCACCAGGAAATGTTTCAGCAAAAAATGCTCTGACCTGTCCCAGGAAGCCAGCTGCTTCTTTGCTCCTGATTTAGGCTTGGTCCCCTGCCAAGTACGCGGAGACATTGATCTTGCCGGTTTCGGGTGGAAGCACTATGCTTCAACAAAGCTACTAGTGAGCTGAGAGTTGAGCAAGTCTCTTCCAAGCTGGGGGCCTTCACCACCTCCCAAGAAGATGGGAAATGCTCTTGATGATCAGTAAAGTCTAGGATTTGAGCTCTGCTACCTGACCTACCAAGAACCAAGAACAGTGCAGGGTCTGTACACCCAATCCAGGAACATGACCTCGGGGAACCTCTCCCGACTTACACCCCAGAAACATCATAAAAATTACCATCCCACCCAAAGAGTTCAGAAGGTTTTGAGCGAGGTTCCCACAGATTAAGAGTCCCAGCACCCACTGAGGCTGCCGAGTCTGCTTGGATGAACAGGGGCCCGTCCGCTTCGCCTCAGCATACCTGTATTCACGTCACCCACAGTCGCCTGTTTGTAGCGGCTGTAGATGAACAGCATCTCATCGTCTGCTGGCTTGGTCTTGAGGTTCTTAACATCCTCGGCAGCTTTGTCAAACTCAGCCTAAATGCGAGGGAGAGGAGAGGCCTGAATGGAGCTCGGTAAGGGATGGCGGAGTTGCAGAGGCAGCACTCCTGTAACGCAGGTGAGGGAAAGCAGCTCCCTCGCAAGTGTGTCCCCTCCTCCCCACAACCGGCCAGCTAGAAAGATGCAGCAAAACAAGGAGTGGCTCACAGGCTCCCTTACTGACAACTACATTAAGGAAGCTCTCATACACCGGGTGTCAGGTACTGGAAATAGCGGGGGAAGGAGAAGGCTAAGACTGCCTGCAGCGGGAGTGTACTCCGCAGGAGAGGCGGCTGGCCACCTGCCTGGGCAATACCGGGTCGCCCTGGCGGATGGCTGAGGTCCCAGTGAAGCCCTGACCTGGGGACAGGGGTGGCTAAAACGGCTGAAAAGTGGGCAGGGCATGAGTACAGCAAGGTCAGGGCCTGAGTCAGTTGGCCCCCTTCCCCCGAGTTTGGGGCGTCCAGCGCCAACCTCTGTCCCAGTGCCGGACTGGAGAGAGAGAGGAGAGGAGCCAAAGGTCGCCCAGCATAGCTCGGTCTCGGAAAAGCGGCTACACTGAAGGGAGGGGAAGGCCTCGGGGGGTCGCCTCTCTCCGGCGCACCCTCCCCCGGCCGCACGGACACTCGGCCCCTACTTCTGACCTCCAAACTCTCAGCCACGGTCTCCTCGCTTCCCTTCTCCGCCCTTACTCATGTCCTGTCTTTCCGGATGGGGGACTCGGTCCCTTCTCCTTCCATTCATGCAACCCTCTACCCCTCCTCTTTCTACCTCGGACCCTCGCCTCCGATCCCTATCCCTGCTTCACCGCGAAGTCCACTCGATGGGCAACCTGCCAGCAGTTACAGGGTGGATGGCGGGGTAGGGCGCCCCAAACCGAAAGTTCCGCTCTCAAGGCTCTGTCCAAAGAGTCAGGGCTGGGCATGGGTCCAGGAGGCAGAACGGAGCCGCGAAGAGAAAGACCTTCCAGGGTTCTACCTGCGGGGTGGTCCCCACGCCGGCTGCCCGCCCGCTGCCCTTCCGCAGCCCCGCACGTGTCCTACCTGAGACATGCCGGCGGGTAGGTGCAAGGACTCGGGAGCAGGCGGACGCGGCGAGGAGCTGGCAGAAGTAGCGCAACACCCGTCTGGCAGCGCCTTTAGAGGAGCAGTCGCAGGCCACGGGGCTCGGGCGAGCGCCCGGCAGCCAATCAGAAGCCAGCTCTGCGCGAGGGCGTGGCCATCCTCTGGGCACTGCCCGCCGCCCGCCGACCGCCTCACCCGAGCTCACGTGGGACTGCTCGCGCACGCGCGGACGGGAGCCGAAGGGAACTCCGGGAGCAGGTGGGACCGCGGAAGTAGGGCGCGCATCAGGGAGCGGGTGCTGTGGTCCGACCCGGGTTCAGCCCCAGCCTGCGGGGGAGTGACCCGCAGGGCAGAGGAGAGGGGTGGAGGCTGAAGAGCAGAGCCTGTTAAACATGTTTCACTGATCCCGTGTCCGGCGGCGCGAGCAGGCCGGAAGTTGCTCCTCTGGATGAGGAACCGCTCAGGCGGGGGGAGGGCGAGGGGCTCCTTCTCATCTCAGGAACCTAGAGGAGTGGCTGAGCCGGTGGGTGGCTGAGCCGGTCCCCGGGAAAGCGAGGCCGAGGCCTCGTCCTCTGAGCATTTGGCACGCCTTCCGGTTGCCTTAGTTTGCAGCTCTGTGTTGCACATTTTTGTTGGTGGTGCATTTCTCCATCTAGTCCAGCGGTTCTCAACTTGTGGGTCGCGACCCATTTGGCGGTCGAACGACCCTTTCACAGGGGTCGCCTAAGACCATCCTGCATATCAGATATTTATATTATGACTCATAACAGTAGCAACATTTACAGTTATGAAGTAGCAACGAAAATAATGTTATGGTTGGGTCACAACATGAGGAACTGTATTTAAAGGGCCAGAAGGTTGAGAACCACTGATTCTAGTGCATTAAAGGCAGAGACAGTGTCTTTCTTACCTTGACTTTAACAAACGTGGCCCGGCCTGGTGTCCAGCACATATCTCTTACGTGGATGACACTTGCATTCATTGACAAATATTTACTCGCTCTTGTCAGGTAACTTGCACCTTCCTGGCCCTTGGGATACAGCAGTGAAAAAAAAAACACCCCACATAATTTCTTGCATCCTGTGGACGAAAGGGGCCACGTGCTGATCTGACAGGCTCAGGGGAGGCCTGCATGGCAGGCTTGCAAACTCAGAGACCTAAAGTCACCACAAAGGATGGTCTGAAATGAAACTTTAACTAAAAGCAGTGATGGTGGGCAGTTACATGCTAGGCCAGTATCTTCACTGACAAGGTCAATCTTTACCTTAACTGAGCCTATCTATCTTTTTGCATCTATGATAACATACCCTTGAAATGTCTGGGTAACTTATAACTTCCCTTTTTCTGGACCCCTTGGGGGTACAACCTAAAGTGCTGGGCGCCAGGACAGATACCAAATTCCTTCATTATTATGTTAATTGGTCCTGCACCCACTTAAGTATGTGTCCATCATTTTACTTTCTATCCAATCCCAGGGGTTTCCCCTGCTTTGCTTTATCCTTCGTCCTTAATCTATCACCAATGGATTTCATGTAACCCACCTACGTCCCTCGTGTGATTGGTGATTGCAAATGTATAAATACAAATGTAACCCCGCCATTCTCCGGAGCACTATCTCAATTCGTTGAGGTTCTGCTTCCCGGCATGCATCGACAGTTTGGCTCAAATAAACTCACAAAAATTCTTTACAGGTTTCAATGGTTTTTTACGTTAACAATCCTTAGAACTTATATTAGGGATAATAGTTAATAAAGCAAGTTAAATAGAAAGTGTGTTAGAGGATAGGGGGTTGGAAGTTGACAGTTTCACATGGGATGGGCTGGTGGAGGGTTAAGGGAGGTAACGTTTGAGAAGGACCCTCGCAGAGAGGAGGGAGCACTCCAGGCAGGACCTTAGTGTGAAGGTGGGAGCAGGGAGTGAGAGGAGGAGTGGAAGGAGAGGGCGCTGGAGAGCTGAGGAGGATGCAGAGCCTGATCTCTATAGGGACTTGACGTTTATTCTGAGTTCGATGGAAGCCAGAGGCTTTCGAGCAGAGGATGGTGAGACCGAGGGGGGCAGGCCCTTGCCAGGTTGTCACCGAGGCTGATGGTCTCCATGGGAACACAGAGGAGCAGCACGGGTGGATGGCAGAGTTTGAGGGTGATGCCCAGGAGACGAAAGGGAGGCTTTCCCCGCGATTACAGAGGAGTGGGTGAAGGGAGGGATTTGATGAAAATTCTCTGGAGATTATCAAAAAGAGAGATCATTCCTTTCCTATTCCTAATATGTGACAAGAGGACTGGACTACACATCTTCCCCCATTTACAATGGTAGGTGTTTAGAAGGAAAAGGCAGGCGGAAGCTTTCAGAAGTAACTTAACCTAGGCGAGGCTTTATGAAATGGGAAGTAGAGGTACAATTGCAAGGAACAAATCCAGAGCCTGTAGACTATGAATAATCTTGTTTGAGAAAACAGTCAAGCAAATTAACAAAAGCCTTGGAGTTAAACGTGAAGAAATTACATCTGAATTGTAAGAAATGTGTGTTTCTCCCAAAATGATGATTCAGCGCTGCTTTTCCCGCTGAGGCCCAGATGAAACCTGGAAGCATTTTGGCTCCATCGTTTGGTGCTTACAGCATCCTTGATGGGAATTCAGGTTATTGTCCGTGTGGGTCAGATTTGCAGTCAACGTGCCTGCTAGACAGTAGGTTTTAACATTAGGTCATTGTGTTTGGCGTATTTGAAAAGATTAGGTATCTCTCATGATGTAATTTTAAACATGTACCTCAGATTGGTTGGAGTTGAACATTGTAGAAAGCCAGATTCCTGTTTTATATTGGCCGTCTCCAGTTTAAGTGGTTGATTGATTTGTTGGTTGCCTGTTTGGACTCGACTTCACTTTCCTAAGAACAAAACATTTCCCACAAGGTAGTTTTGTGCCTAGGTGAGTCTACAGTAGTTGCTTAAAGCAACTCAAGTGTGGAACTAAGTAAGGATTGTGGAATGGCATTCAGCTTTTAACATAGAGATAGTAACACACCAGCATCTGGAATTTTATTTTATTTTAAAATATATTTTATTGATTCTTCACAGAGAGGAAGGGAGAGAGATAGTTAGAAACATCAATCAGCTGCCTCCTGCACATCTCCTACTGGGGGTGTGCCTGCAACCCAGGTACATTCCCTTGGGACCCTTCAGTCTGCAGGCCAACTCTCTATCCACTGAGCCAAACCGGTTTCAGCAAGGGATTTTATTTTTAAAAACAAATTTTAGAGTATATTTGGAGCCAATAAATTTTATGAAATTTTTAAAAATATATTTTTACCGATTTCAGAGAGGAAGGAAGAGGGAGAGAAAAATAGAAATATCAATGATGAAAGAGAATCATTGATTGGCCGCCTCCTGCACACCCCCTGTTGGGGATAGAGCCCACAGACAGGGCATGTGCCCTTGATTGGAATCCAACCCAGGATCCTTCAGTCCGCAGGCCGAGGCTCTACCCACTGAGCAGAACCAGCTAGGGCTGAATTTTTAATTCTGTATTTCAACAGTGTTGGAAAGGAAATTGCTTTTTATATCTGGAGAAAGTGTAAGCTCCTCAGGTCTGTTTATAGCCATGTCATTCACTGTCACACTTTGTAATTTTATTTAATTTTAATTTATTCTTCTCTCTGAACCCCCTCTACATAAGCTAGGGAGGATAGGGATCACTGTGTATTGGTCAGTGCCTATCTTCAAGTGCCTGTCACTTCTTTGGCACTCAACTAATGGTAATTGAATGAATGAAGTGCTTTTCTGACTATGAAATGTATTTCTTCTGATTAGCCATGAACTGGAAACCAACTAAGTTTATGAGAACTGAATGTGAAACTAGGGGTGGGCAAACTTTTTGACTCGAGGGCCACAATGGGTTCTTAAACTGGACCGGAGGGCCAGAACAAAAGCATGGATGGAGTGTTTGTGTGAACTAATATAAATTCAAAGTAAACATCATTACATAAAAGGGTACGGTCTTTTTTTTCAATAGTTTTATTCATTTCAAGTGGGCCGGATTCGGCCTGTGGGCCGTAGTTTGCCCACGGCTGGTAGAGTAAAGTAGATGAACTCTGGTGCAAGGCCCATGTAATCTCTCTGTGACTTCCCAGCCTTGGAAACAGAACACCTGAAGTGTTAGGGGAAGATGGGGAACCGTGAACCAGTCGGCCTAGTCAACCCCTCCCGGTGAGCAGGCAGGCCGTTGTCGCTATAACAGCCCGCCCTCACTTTCTTGGGACCCCTGGTTTGACTGAGAGGCTTCACTTGCTGGTTCTCAGGGTAGTCAGTCAGGCAAGATGCATTCGCAGCAGTGAAAGCAGTTCTTGCCCTGGGGTATGAATAGTAGTTTAATATTAGATTTCTCCTTCTAAACGAAATCTCACTTACTAGAAGTAACCCATCGTTAAAAAATGGACTACAGTTACAGCAAAGCTTTACTAGAAGGCACGGGGTAGGGCATTAACAAGTGTTGAAGTCTATTCATTTGGTATTTATTTTCTATTTTCTTGGCATGTGACTGATGCTTGGCTCCAGGAAAGCTGGGAGGGGACTTGTGTGTTTTAAAGGGAGGGAGGCACCTGGGAAATGCTTCTGGGAAAGGAGCAGGGAGAGGTGGGCAGAGCTGGAGGTCTATGATGAGAGTGGATACACTTGCCTTGTCCTGATCTTAGGGAGACGGCATTCAGTCTTCCACCATTAAGTGTCATATTGGCTGTAGGGTTTTTGTACATGTTTTTTATCAAGTAGAGGAAGTTTCCCTCTAGTGCTGTTTCTAAGAGTCCTTATCATGAATGGATGTTGAAATTTATCAAATTTTTTTTGCATTGATTGATATGATTACATGATTTTTCTTCTTTAGCCTATTAAAATGGTAGATTACATGGATTTCTTTTCAAATATTGAACTAGCCTTACTTCCCTGGAAGAAACCCCACTTGGTCATGGTATATAATCCTTTGTATATATTGCAGAATTATATTTGCTAATATTTTAAGGGTCCTTATGTTTGTATTCATAAGGAATATTTGTCTGTAGTTATTTTTTAATAATGTCTTTGGTTTGTTATGGTACTACTGGCTTCATAAAATGAAATAGGACATGTTTTCTCCCTTTTCTATTTTCTGAAATAAGTTGCTTAGAACTGTTGTTAATTCTTTAAATGTTTTGTAGAATTAGCCAATGAAACCTTCTGGGCCTGGAGGTTCTTCTTCTGGGTGTTTTAAAATTATAGGCCATTAAAATTT